ACCTTCAAAACACACTCTTTCAGCTTAGGCTCTTAGTCTTCAAGGTTCATGGTCCAGCTTGATGCTTGCCATGTTGCTTGGCTTGGTCCTGAGATCAGAAATCGATTTTGGACTAAATAAACTAGTCACGAAATCCAAGGTACCAATTGAAAATCCCATTAGAATCAAACAGGGATCATGAATGTAAAATAATCATTAGGGCCAAATCCAAAATAATCATAAGGAACTCAAATGCCTTTTATGCATTATATCTCTAGTAGTAGACCACGTAAAGTAACTCTACAAGTTATAAGGACACTTTGCATCCGGCGAGGTAAGGAAAGATATAATGAGATTACGGTTTCCTTGTTCGATGCTGTACAAACTCAGAGCACTTGATTTTCTGACTCACAGTAACCACAGCTAATGCTCATCAGACTTGGAAAATTATACATGAAAATAGCTCTGCTGGAGAATTCCCCAATATATATATATATATCATAATTACAGAGAGGCACTTGAATTTAGATTCTTCAAAATTTCAGCTTTTCAAAAGCTACAAGTTGGTGTGTTCATGAAAAAATCACATAATTTGGTTGAGAAGTTCTTATGAGCAGTATAGTATGGAAGAAAAAAAAATTCAAATAAATAAGAATTTACAGTTCTGAGCCAAAGGTTGCATGTCTGTATTCTGGATTTTTTAACAATCCATAAATCTTTACAAGAAAGAACTCATTTGGTCAAATCTCTGAGCTTTCTCTAGTTGACCATTGCGAGTAAGCAGTCGAACCATAATAGCAAAGTGTTCCTTAGATGCTTCAACTTTATATCTAGACATTAAATTGAAGATTCTACAAGCATCGTCTGCTAATCCAGCTCTGTCGCATATAGATAGAATGGCTTCAAAAGTGAAGTGGTTTGGAGAATATTTCATCATATTAAAAAGGTTAATTGCATCTTGGTACAATTCATTATATCCATAGGCCCTTATAAGAGCGGTCCATGTAATAGAACCTTTAACGGGAACTGCATCAAACACCAACTTAGCCTTATTAATATCTCCAGATGAACCATACATATTGATGAGTTCTGCAGAAACAAAAGGGACTGATTTAAAGTCCCTTTTCAACATCTGCCCATGAATCTCCTTCCCAAGCTTTACAAGTTTTAGTTCACCACAAACACTCAACATCCTTGCTATAGCAACAGAATCAGGCCTGTGCTTTGACAATTGCATTGCCCTCATCACACCAAGCGCTTCAAACAGACACCCATTTTCTATACATGAATCGATCATGGCCGTCCATGAAATCACATTCCTCTGTTCCATATTATCAAATAACCTTTTAGAATACTCAATAACACCACACTTGGAGTACATCATCATCAATGAAGAAGTTATAGACACATTAGGCAAAAACCAACGTTTCAAAGCATAAGCATGAATCTGCTTCCCTTGTTCCAGTGCCCTCAACTGTGCACAAACCGGAAGAACAGTGGCAAGTGTCACTGCATCAGGCCGGAACCCTTCTTGCTGCATCCAAATCGTGGACCTCAGCGCTTGCTCCAGCTTCCCATTCAAAGCATAACCAGCCATCAGAGCCGTCCAACAAACTGCATTCCTCTCATTCGAACCATAGAAAACCCGCCTCGCCGAAATCATATCCCCACACTTGCAATACATATCAATCAATGAAGACTGCACCGGCACCTGTTTGGCATACGACTTCGTTTTCACAACATAAGCATGAAACTCCTGGCCCAACCTCCTTGCACGAACCTCCCCAATCACAGGAATAACAGTAGTCATCACAACCGAATTTGGCTTCACTCCCTCCTCCACCATCCACCTCACATACTCCAAAACCTCCCTCTGCAGCCTATTGTGCGCGAAACCGGCAAGCATCGTCCCCCACACGACAACATCCCTCTGGGGAATTTCCTCAAACACCCTGCACGCGAGCCGAACCTTCCCACACTTGAAGTACATGTCAATCATACAAGTCCTAAGAATGTAGCTATCCACCAATCCATTCTTGATCAAAAGCCCATGAGTCTTCAACCCCTGCGAAAACGCCGCAGCGCCAGCGAAGCTCTTGATCACATTGGAGAAACTATACACATTCAACTCAACCCCCAATGCCCTCATCTCGGAATAGGTTCTAACCACATCAATGTACTTTCTTTTGCCCGAAACAACAGTCCCTCTGAGCAAAGCGTTCCAGGGGTACACACTCTCGCAGGGCAATCCATCGAACAGTTTCTGTGCCTCTTGTACTGAGCCACAAGCGGTGTACATGTGAACCAGCTTTGTCCGCAAAAAAGCGTTCTTTTCGAGCCCGTTGGTTCTGATTTGGGTGTGGACTTCCCTCCCTTGGGAGAGTGACTTGGTGCGGGTGCAGGCGGCGATGAGGGCGGAGAAGGTGGTGGCGTTGACGGGGATGCCGCGCTGGTCGAGGTAGTCCAAGATGGTAAGAGCCTCCTTGAGCTTGTTGAGGCGAGCGAAACGCTTGATGTCTTTGTAGATGAAGATTGGGTTTTTGTTGTGGAGGGGTAGGGAGCATGGAAACGCGTCTTTTTCGGTGAATTGTTTCACCTTCTTCTTGTGCTTCCTTGGGGTGCGAGTGGTGAATTTGGGAGGCTTTGTGTGATGGGTTTTGGAGGGTCTGAAGCTGAAGACTCGGAAAATGCTGGGTGTGGGGTTTGGAGGGAAAGTGAGGGAGATAGAGGAAACAGAGTTTTCCATGGCTCACGAACAAATGGATTGGAATGGATATTTTTACGAGTGAAGCATGTTTTTGGAGCAGAGCAGAACAGAACATGTGAAATGATAAAGCATTACGTAATATAAACCATAGATATGTTTTTGACCATATATAGATATGAATTGTTCTTATAATTTTGGACGATGGAGATGATAGACACTGACACACAAAGGTGATCTAACAGATACTTTTTATTTATTTTTAAGTAAATTAAATATAAAATAAAATATATTTCTCTCAAGAACAAAGCTTAAATGCAGTTGATTAGTGTTGTTATATTATCATACTTCAATATTATATATATTTATATATATTACCGAAATAATTCTAATTCTCATTAAAAAAAACAACAGCACCAATTGTATTTAAGTAATTACATTTAAATTTTGTCTTATTTCATTCGGCTATCCGAAATTTTTAAGTTACCTAGCCAGTTTGCCTAATAACATAGTAGTTATTATAGAACAATCTGTAGGTACAGTCAAGTTAAATTGATTGGATTCTGCATGATGTTTTTATGTATTCCATTCTTTGATGTTAATCTTCTTTGTATTATCTAAAGACTACAATTACTCAATTTCATTGCACACTGCTTTTGATTCCTTTTCCATACAGGATAATCGTTTCTTGAAGATGATTAGTAAAGGTCTTCAAGCCTCAAACAACCACACTTGAAGGTTTTTTTCTTACTCTGTGGCACTCATCTAATTCCGAGTCTTTTCATGTATTCAATTTTGTTTCACATAATATGACTTCTAATACTTGGCGGGCTAGGCTAGGACATTTTCCTGGTAAATGTTATGAAATTCTTAAGCAGTAAAATCTATCTACATGTTTCTCCACATAATTCTCCTTTGGCAAAGCAAAGGGCACCACCACATACCAATTCGTTTCAAATAACTACTTTATTTATGTTTTCAGTTGACTCGATACATTGTATTGTAAGATTTGGGTTCCCATCTGTACCAACGGAAGAAGGCAAAAGATATCTTTTTAGCTTTAGTGGATGATCACACTTGATTCACCCAGCTTTATCTTCTAAAACATAAATCAGAATTCTTACATTGGTCAAACAGCTCCATTTTATTGCGAAAACCAAATTTTGGTCCTTAAACCATTCTGTTGATGTATAAGAGATAATATTAATAATTAGGGTCAATTTTAGTCCTTAGATAATTCTGTTAATGCAAAAGAGTTAGTATTAACTACTCGTTAGAGTTGGTCTAATAATAGAAGAAATGAGTAGTATATATTAAATTGTAGGTTCAAATTTCATTATCATTATTATATAAAATAAAAAAAAGTAGCATTAACTGAATATTAGCAGCTAAAGGTGTCCTGGATCAGTTTAGCTGGGTACAAAATCTTGCAAGCCCTATTGTTGAATGGAAATTTAAGTAAACTATCATTTTAATCCTGGAAGCATTATCATATTAATTTCTGAATCGAAGAAAATTATTAAAAGGAAGTTTTTTCTTACGGATGAGATAAGTGGAAGCAAGAGACAGAAAAAGAAGGGGAGAAAACAGATATAATAAATACTGTGATGATAAATGAAGATAAAAAATAAAAATAAGGAAAAAGACTAAAGTAATTAGTAAATATAGAAGTAGCGTTACGGTGAGTGTTGGTGCCATGAAAATGACTGAAAACTACATTTGCGAGTGCAAAGGTCCCTAATTTGGACTTTGTTCTGTTACTCGACGCACTGAAAAAAAAAAGAAAGAAAGAAAGGAATTCTGAAGACTTTTCTTTTCTTCGCTTCCCTTTGTTTACTTCTGCATACTCTTCTCTTTTGAAAGAGACACGTGGCACTTGTGTGGTATGTAACATGCCTTAGCAACAGTATCAGCAATTTTAACAGACGGATGTAACATTTTGAAGTAGTTTGAACGGTTTCTTGCAACTTTAGAGACCAAAATGGTTTACTCTTACTAGTTATAATATATTATAGTTACTTAGAAGTTGTATTCAACTATTCATAATTAGATACAAGTATTCAACACCTAATTAGCCTTATTAAAGAAGTTCTGATGTCAATGATAATTAATATAACTACATAGCTAGTTAGAATCAAAGAAGAATAAATTTTTACCAAAGTAAACCAGAGAAAGTAGTTTTAAAATCAAAGAAGAATAAATTTTTACCAAAGTAAACTAGAGAAAGTAGTTAAGTTTATATTCTATGAATCTATGGGTAGTACTTGACTAAGTCCTCGACACTCAACAGTAAACACGCAAACAAATTATTCTATTGGTGATACTTGACTAAGTCTTCAAATTCAAAGTCGTCTCCAACCGGCTATATCCACCAATTTAATGCTCCCTCTTTTTCTTTGATTCTATTCTATATATGTGTTGTAACAACATCCAAATTAAACTCATAGAGAGTAAATACAAGTATCATTCATTTTACTCTGTATCTGTCTAGTTTCCTGAGACATTAGGAACAAATTTCTCATTATTTGTTGCTCATCAAGAGCAATTTTCAATATATTGAGCAATTAATATTTCTTTGATTCCAAAGTGCCATGGTAAATTATGGAACTACACAGAGAATATCCACCTCCTCAACACCACCATCAACTGATGCTGATAACACTTATGAACCAAAAGAACTTCGTGAAAAGTTCTACAGAAATTTCAGAATCTATTGCCCCATAAACATTCCCTCAACTTCAGAAGCTGCAGGAGTCCGCATCATGAGAAACATGGTGGATTTTGGGTTATACTACTCACTCTTTGTGTGGATCATACTCTTCATAACCCTCATTCCTTGCCGTAAGGTGTCCTTGATTCTGTTGGTTATCATGACCTATGTGACAACCCTTTACATTTTGCTGTTAAGGGCATTTCCCAATTCTGTTGTGCTCCACAGAATCATAGATAAAAGGGCTGTGATGGCTTTGCTAGCAGTTGCAACTGCAGTACAGCTGATTTTGACTGAGGCAGGTGTTCACCTTGCAGTGACTTTGGCTAGTAGTGTGCCTGTAGTTTTGGTTCATGCTGTTTTGTGGGCTAGTTATGACGCCTTTGTGATTGAGGATGCTTCTGGTTCTGGTAAAGGAGAACTTGCTCCTCTTGTTGGCCATAATGGAAGTGATGCTGACAATTATTCTGATGCTGTTTGAAATTTTAGGGCCTTACTATATACATAGTCCTTTCTTGGAGGAAAAAATCAGTGAGATCTTTAAATAATGCATACATGTGGTTGTTGTAAGAATTTTGAGTAATATTGTATGTCTTGAATAAAACTATAGGGACAAAAGGTTCAATTCCATTTTCTTTTTCCTATTATACTCCCTTTGTTTTTAAGGGTACTTGTTTTCTCTAACATTTTGATCAATTACATTGGTTTTTCAAGGTCAATTGCAAAGTATAATAGAACTGCTGAATATTTATGCCAAAAATGCTACAAGCCAGCAAGTCGAAGTCGTATATTGAATGAATTGCAAGGCAAGTTCCTATGCAGAAAATTATTGTAGACCACAAAATAGTATAAATGAGCTTATTGGAAGTTGGAACCATTCAACTTGATAGTGGTAGGTAGGCCCTGCATCTTTTACAATGATTGTACAATGTCAACGATAACAACAATCAAGTTACTATGCTAATATCTATTTGCATATATTTTATTTAATTTTTATAAAATAATATATTTAAGTAAAATTTATAGTTTTTATTTTTGAACTTTGCTAACCGGAGCCTTTAGGACACTGATTAAAGAATAAATATGTAAATTTTTTTTTATTAAAAACTATAATAAAATTACATAAAAGTATCTGCATATACATTTTTCAATAAAAGGTTTTTAATTTTGATTTCTTATAATCAGTGTCTTAGTGAAACTTGTTTGCATTTTTTGTTATTTTTTTCAACGACATAATGCAGAATAACAAAAGTAATACATTTTAGCTGCTTCTTTTCTATTTTCATTTTAAGTTCACTATTATATTGTACTAATTAGTGATGTTTAAAATTGTATCTTTATTCCTTAACTATACAATATATACATATTTGCATAAAATCATATACTATCTTAGATCTTATGCAACATGAATTTTTCTTAAAAAAATAATTAATAATAAGTATTTTTTTTTCTTTTCTAAAAAATATAGTATTTTCTTCTTTTAATATTGTATTGGTTTAATTGCATATTTTGCTTTTATGAACTTTTAATTTTGTTATTCAACTTTCGAATATATACAATTTTATCATTCAATTTTGAAACAAATTTTGTTATAATGTTAATTGGTCACCTAATGCGTTAGTTGACATTTAACATGACAAGTTAATCAATATAAAATGACTTATAAATTTTCATCGTCACGCTCATGAAATCCTACAACATAGTAATGGATTTATGCTCATGGTTGAATCTCTTGCTCTCAACCTTCCCTCATGTGTTCCACCACCCATCTCAGCCATTAATTCGCATCAACACATTCCCATCATTGCTTCAACGTTAACTCAACTAGATCCCACGCAAGATCATGATTTCAAGGATCTCACAAGGATTATATGTATGGTGATTGCATTGAGTTTGGCGAAGTTGATCGAGATGAACATGTCTTGTAGTCGCGACGTGTGATTCGGAAGAATCAATAAAGAATTTAGAGATCACTTTTTACCATTGGTTATAATTTCAACAGATGTACAAAGTGCTTTTCGTTCTACTTCGTTAAAATTCATGTGAATTTTCATATCATGAATCTTCATATCAACATATATTGTATTTATTATTTTATAATTAAAAATAATTTTTAGTAATAATTTTTTAGTTATTATAAGATATATGTTATTTTATGACAATTTTTTTTGTAATAACTATAAAAATGATTTTAAAGATATTCAACTTTACACTAACACGTTACTATTTCCTAAAGAATGTAGCATATGTCATGACGATATTGCAAACTTCTGTTACTATTTTTAAATATATATATATATATATAT